TTCGCAGGAAAATTGAAATGAGATTTATTTACTACGTTTTTCTTTATTTTTTCGTGTGTACACTGCTTTGCTACAAACAGATTGACTGACTGAACAACTGTCGAACTGACGCCCTGATTAGTTGGGAGAGTGGCTACTGCTGGCCGTGTATATAAACAATTTTTGTGGCAATTTAATTAGCAATTCCAGTGAAATAAAATTCACACCCACAGTCATGAAATGCGGAGGAAAAAATAAAGCAGATACGACGAGCTACCTCGAGCTTTAACTAGAAATCAACTAGCACCCCCTCCCCTCTCCCTACAACCCATGCACCTTATTATCGTTCAAATCAAAATCACTGACCAGATATGAAGCAGCAACGCAAATCTATCTCTTTCTCTATCTCATTGACGCAGATACACAAATACAAGCGATTCCGTTCAAGATTCATGCACCAAAGCGTTCCAATCACAATAACTTATCACAATTAGCAGCAATATAGCTGCAAATGGGAAGGTCTGAGAATGTGTTATCAGAACTACGTGGAGAGTGTGTTCAAAGCACACGCCAAAATGTGCTCAAGGAATACGATATATGTATGTATGTATGTATGAACATTCACACTTATATTTGTAGAGAAGTTTAGGTGTGGGTCTCTCCTCTCTTTACAGTAGCGCACGCGATAATATAGTATGTATTAACAATAACAAAAGCCTTAATGGGCATAGAAGGCTAGTTCTTGGAAGAGCACCCAGCTAGTCTCCCATGATAAGTCTATACAAGCGAAAAATTCTTGGAATACTATATGTATGAATGTACATTTGTATATACGAGTACATAAGTATACATACTTGTATGTATGCGCACGGCACTTTCGCATGGTGAAGTCATGAAGTTTTTGTTTGGAAAATACGCAGCACGCACGTGAACGTGTGTGTGTGTGTGTTTCGGTATCTTTTTATAAATATGTATGCATACGTAACATTGTTCAATTTTATGATTCAACATAAGTATTAACAAATTCTCAGCCTTATTCGCTACACTTGTTGCCTTCAAGGTTGATCAATGAACTTGATGCATCCATAAACATATCATATTTACAAACTACCAGATACTCTTATCATATGTGTATACCTTAGATAGTCTGCGATAGATTAAATTTAGGATTCAAGATAGCATCAATGTCAGCAAACTTTCTACAAGTCACTCAAAGTCAAATGAACCGCAATGTTACAGAAATTTCTCTAGAATATAAGCATCTATAAGGAGACAACCTTTATTATTTGAAACTCCATACTTGAAAACCCAAAAGTTTTTTGAAAACATGGAACCTTGATAAAGCTCCTTTTTTCAATGGGAAAAACACGTCCTTGTCTATTAACTAACATTACCACCTCTCTGAACAGTTTTTCGATTTAATATGGGTTAAAACACAATCAAACTTCAATAATTCTATAAACACATAGAACGTACATAACTAAGTACTCATTCACTTATGGTATTTGGGTTACAATTGTGAAAGTTGTTTAGGGTTCCTTACGTCCTTGCCAGACCTATGGGAGAGTGTTACTTGAATTCTTATAGTGGATTTTAGCAAATATTTCATTTAGTTTCAGGGTTATAGAGTAAGAACAATATGGCTGCATTATTAAATGGTTATAATAATTTGCATAATCAACAGTGTAGATGTTCTTTTTGTTACCTGTTAAGTGCGAACGAACTAAACGTTTCGAACGTGGTGCGATTTCGTTCGTAAAAGTCAAATCTTTGTACGAGTACAGTATGCAACTTGTTTTATTACCTCTGATGAAATATATATATTTAGCGTATATATTTAGCGATTACCGTTACGGAAGCAGATTAGAGGGAAGCGAGAGCAGGAACGTACGCGAACTCACGATGTCGTTTATGGATTGCAACGTCTGTTAAGAATCGACATCAGAATCGGACAAGTGTTGCCGACGGAATGGCTGCTGCTACTGTTGACTGGGCTATGCCAGGCCCACAAGATTATTGTCATACAAAAGAAAAACCCACACATACATACATATGTATAAATACTTGCGACACAAATATGAAGATTACGTCTGAAAATTTCATTGATAAATTACTACGAAACTATAATATAAAAGTCAGTGCTGCTCAAGATAATAAGACACACACACATATTTACATTCATATGTAAGCAAATATGTACATGCATATATAAATATATATGTATATACATACATACATACATACATACATAAGTATATGTATATATGATGTAGGTTTGTTTGGGTCGTTTCGCTGGTGCTTATCAGCCCACAATGCTGATGGGAATAACGCTGTTGCAAAGTTTAGTGGAATTCCAAGAACAATCAAAAGCATTTCGTTTTTCGAGGAAAACAAATATGTGCATAGACATAACGACAACAGCTAGAGGGGGCTTAGATAAGTACTAGCTGTGGCTCTGAACTATACATATGGTATATATAAGTGTGTACACATATGCGTGTATCTAAGGTCAATGGGCGTGCAGATAAGCCCAACATATTGTCCTCAGCTGAGATTCGTCATGCCCACTTGGCCGTTGCTGTATGCAATCGTGTTACCATGTAAATATGGGCTAGTTTATTGCGAAAGTCGGCCAGATACTTCAAGGGAAAGGTAGAGCTAAAAATAATAAGCAAAGACGAAGATTTCACACACTACCTAACCCTAACTACTTTGAATTGATTTGTCTGTGATATATGCATACAAATTTAATTTTTAAGTGAGGCATCAAAAATAGGATTAAGTTGGCGAATTAAGTTTGATTGTACATATGTATATTGGATTAGTGTTGAAGCATTTTAAATATAAAGTACTGTTTTCTTATTTGTAGATCTTTTTATATTAAACCAAGACACAAATATTTGGAGTTTGTTAAATTTTTTAAATATTTGTTATGTTAAAACATATTGCAACAAATCTTTAAAAATAACAGCCCTCAATGTTTTTAAATAAATCGAAAGTAATAACAAAAGTTTTCATATCAATATTCTTATTTTACGATTGATTTTAGATTAACGTCTAAGGATTTCGTTCAAATGTTATATGAATTTCTATCTAGATTCATCTTAATACTCCAAACATCGGACTATAGTTTTGTTAACTAATGTTAGGGTGCCTAAACGCATCGAATTTTGAAACTGCGGCCAAAATTATACATATATAAACCTGCGGGTGCTTACTCCCCTCCCCTGACTCTTCCAGTCTCACCAGCTCTTACCATCACACAGAGCTTGGTCAGCAATGATTTATGTACACAATGGCCAAAAACGAAATACAATTAAGCAGCAAAACGCTGCATGACAACAACACAACAGCAATACCAACAACTACAAAAATCCGCTCAAGTGCGCAGACATACGTACTCGTATACACACAGTTGAGTGTTTAGGCCACATTTCACTTTTGGCATTCACAATTTGATTTTGTCGCAATTGAAAATAAAACAAAATTCACGCGAACAATTAAAATAAAAATATATCAGGCATTTCCACGAAATCGGCTTGAAAATCACAACAACAAAAAACAACACACATACACACACTCAAAACAAACAATGGCAAAATAAAATACAATAGGTGATGTTTTTGTGTGCGAATGAAAGGGAGAAAGAGGGTAGAGGGAATGGGGGTTGACATTTGAGTCCATTGTATTGCGATCGTGTGGATGAAGTTTGGCTGTGCAAATGGTCATAGGGGAATCGGGTCGGCAACCATTTTTGCAAAACAGCAAAGCCAATAAGGTTACGCCCTTTTCATATAAATACGAGTATACTATATGTACATACATATAGTATGTAGATATGTTTATCAAACCAGTGCACATGCCTTTTTCGCATGTAGGCCGCATCGCTTGAAAAACATTTTCACATGAAAAGCTATTAAAAACATTCTGAAGTTTGATAAAAATTTCAAGGAAATTGAGAAGCGGCGGTATCGGAAGAGGCTGGTAGAAGAACCCGCTTTTACCAGGAATAATCAAAAGCGTACGTACACACTCACTCACCCGATTTGACGCATTACACACGGCCAAACAAAGTTAATAACACCTTTTCTTGTGAAGGGTACAACAACAGCAGCAACTACAACAAGAAGAGACGAAATAACAACGAAAAATACTAAAAAGAAACAAAAAACCCGTACGTATGGCTTCGGCTTCGTCCGAATTGCGGCTACACCTTTGGCAACAACAACTACAATAGCGGCCAAACCAATAACCCAGCTTGGGTGCTCAAGTGTGAGTGCCAAGCCATGTATGCATGAATATAAAGTGTGAGAGAGTAGCTGTGCGCGAGCATTGCAAGGTATGTACGTATGTATGTCTGTATGTGTGAGTATCTCTGTGTGTCTTCCCAAAAGCCAGCAGCTTGGCTTGTGGTGTTAAATGTTTGCAGCAGCATTTCATTCAGTCGCACCAAAAACAACAACAACGACAACCACACAGGCAGCATCGGCAGCAGAAGCAGCTGCCAACATCACCACCCGCCAGCTTGTCCTCGTTCCATCGTTCGTTTGCTAGGTTGCCGTCGTTGCTGTTGTTGTTGTACACATACAGCGACATCAACGTTAATACCATGGCATAGTCACTCATGTTGTTGTTGTCTTCACTGTTACCGCCGCTGCTGCGCGTCTTTTTGTATGTGTGCGCGCATTGTTGTTGGTCTTGTTGCTGCTGTTGGCTCTGGCTCTGGCACGATGGCTGCTGCTGTCTGTCACTTCTCAGAAATCGGTCTAAATTAGAAAATGCGTTTCTGGGAATTTCGTATCTCTCTTTTGGGTACACGAAACAGCAACTACGAGATACTTTGTACAGGCAACATCAATATATATTAAATTCGCCTCTTTCGGACCGATTTCTGAGAATTATTGGGATATATATGTACATATGCTAGTATCTATGGCAATGGGTAGATCAGGCATTTCATCAAAATTCTAATATAAAATCCCACATTTTATGAACTTTGCTTGCAAAAGCCAATTATTTACCTTCTTAATTGCGAATTGTGCTCTTTCCTTTTGTGCTGCCGTTGTGTTTTCTAGTTTCAGCTAGTTGGCAATTTAATGAAAGTGTATTTTAAGCATAATTTTGATTTGCTCCCATAAATATTTTTCTTGCTTATTTTATTTTCTTGCTATGTATGTTTACTAAGCGGTACGCAATCACACAAACACAACACACACACATACAATAATACTTAATGCACACACGAGTGGGAACTGCAGGAAAACGATTTGCCGAATTCACTAGCACTTAATAAAAACGAATAATATTGTAACTGAGATGTGCGCAAATTTCAACACTTTAGGCAATTTCTCCAAACGAGGTGACGTATGTACGTAATCATCACACTTATTTGCCCATTTACTTTTCCGTGCGTATCACTGTCGCCCGTTCGACTCGTGCTGCCATCTTTTACTGAAATTTCCATGAATGAAGGCGGAACACCGATACAAAAAGTTATCGATACATGCGCAGTACAGCTGCGAATAAACTAAAGATGCCACCTTGCCCAAATTTTTCTAGAGGGCGCTGTTAACTCGTGTGCCTCCACTTAGAAGACGTTGGCCGTTATCTCTTTGATGTTTGCATTGTCTACATTCAAATAAACTAAACCTAGGTGTTTCTCTTTCTTTTTTGAAAATTTTAATGTAGTGTCTTGCGATATTTGCATCTATACGCTGGCGACAATTGTTTGCAAAATAAACATGTGTATTAAATAAAGTTAGCCTCATCTACAAATGTAGTTCTGTTTGTATAACAAATAAAGGCATCTTATGACAAATTAATCTCAGCGGGCAACCGCTCGAGTTACTGCGGGTAAGCACTGTCAGAGAGACGACACGATGGCAAATGTAGATAATAAATAAATTAAAACGCATATCTTACAATTCTTGATAGTAGTATCTATATATTTATTTACTGTCACACAACCGACCCGTAAATGTGGGCACAGTCGCAGCCTCCCATTCCAAGCAGTTGCCAGCCACTCAGTCAGTGTCAAGCGGTCAGTTTGCCTGTAGCCATAACTTGTGTGCGCTCCGTCTTTACGCTTCAACTGCATGCACTACATAATTCAATTAAAATTAAAACGCAAATCTAGTCAAATAAGTGAAATTGCTCCAAATTCACGGCAATTAAACGACAAATCCCCAAAGCCCGCGTGGGTAGCCGCATGACAATGAGCGTTGGAGGCGCTGGCGCTACTGCCGTTGCTGGTCAAACCCTTGAGATGCATCGCTCCAGTTCGATGCCCGTCAAGCCCAAGCCGATCGAGACGAAGCCTCTGGCACGATCGCCTGAAAAGGAAACTGTCGATGATCAAGAAGTCGATTACTATCCGGAAAGCCCAAGTTTTGTGCGTCGCCGCAAATCCAAGTCGGCTGTGGATCAGCTGGAGACGCGCAGCGAACAAAAGTAGGTCATCAACAATGCATGACACTTAGAGAAAAATAGGTGAAAATTTGAAAAAATTAGAGAAAAGAAGAAGCTGTTTTTAGTCTTATTCTTGTACTTAATAAAAAAGAACGTTTTCATAGTTTAGATTGGACAAAACCTTCATAGCTCAATAGTTAATTAATCCAACTCAGCAAAACCAGGAAGTTTTTATTTGTATCTACTTTTCAAGCAAGACTCTTTATCTATTGCAAAGCTCTCATTCGATGCAGCTTAAAATCTTTTCTTTTTTTATAATAAAATAATTAGCAGTTTTTTTTTATATTTTTTAAACTTAAAATGTATTAAAACATTCAAATACTTTACATTTTTTCTCTACAGTTAATTATTGGTAATTGTTTAAACTTTCTAGCACAGAATGAGGATAAAATAACATAGGCGATAAGTTGTAAGACTTCGAAGGTTTTTTTGAGTAATTTATTTCCAGAATACTGACCAGAACACAATTTGCATCTTCTGTAGCTTTCCTTATACTACGGACTGGGCTGGCAGCACCATTGAGCTGAGTCCTCAGGCGAGCTCTTCCGGCGAAGGCCTACGACGTACCATTCATCGTGTGATGGAGAAGAATGGTCATGAAAATGTAGTCTTTCGACGAATCCCGGAGAAATCATGGCGCTACATTCGTGACTTTGTCACAACGTTGGTAAGACCCTTACTGCGTTGGGTGCCCAAACAGGTTGTGAAAGAAACCCAGGTGGTAGCTAAGAAGTCTGAGCACGAGCACTCTGATATCTATAGCATAACCCCCAGTATACAACGAAAGCTGGACGAACTGGTCAATGTGCCGCCAACGCCGCCAAAGCTATGCAAAGTCAAGACCAACGAGCGGGTCACCTTTAGTATTTAGCATATACGAGTACATACATACATATGCTATTTGTAATATTTGTCCACTCATCTTTGTAACACCTGTAACTGACATGACAATTTACTAAAACTAAACAACAAAAAAATAAAATCGCATATCTTAACAAGAACATGGAGCACCATTTTATTCGGCACTCTTGGGTCAGCCTTGATCATTTAGGTTGCATTATTCTATTCCACAGATCGAATTGGATTGGAAGTACATGTTGAGTCTCTTTCTGGGCAGCTATTTTCTCAGTTGGTTCTTCTTTGGCGTGCTCTGCTACGTGGTGGCCTATTCCCATGGCGATTTTCTCTTCGACGCCGTCAGCGGCGATCGCTTGGGCGAGGGCAAGGAGCCGTGCATTATTGGAGTACGCAGTTTTGTGGCCATGCTGATTTACTCGATAGAGACACAGACCACGCTAGGATTTGGCGAGAAATATGCCAGCGAGGAGTGTCCGGAGACCATTTTCCTATTCATTGTCCAAATGTTGTGCTCGGTGGCCATTGAGGGCAGTATGGTGAGCGTTATTTATGCAAAAACAGCGCGTCCAGCCAGACAAATGACAAAGCTCAAATTCAGTGACAAGGCGGTGGTGTGTAGATCCGAAATATATAGCCTGATCTTCATAAAAATTTTGTGTGTGATTGCAGATTTGTTATCGTGATGGGAAACTGTGTCTGCTCTTTCGTGCTTGCGATCCACGCGAGCAACAGTCTATAGAATCCAAAATACGCGTCTACATGATTGTGGACAAGCAGTAAGTGCTTAATCGATGGGTCTTCCCAACCAAGAATCTGAAACCCTTCTCTGCAGGACGCGCGAGGGTGAGGTAATTAAGACTCACACGGAGCTTAAGCTGGTGGGCAATGGCGAGCAGTTGATTGTGTGGCCCGAGATCATTTGTCATATCATCGATGAGACGAGTCCCCTACAATGCTTCTCCAACGCCAAGCAGTTCAATGCCGCGCAATTTGAGCTCTATGTGTCCATTGTGGGTACTTCACCGGCCACTGCTCAAATGACCGAAGCAAAGACCTCGTATGTTCCGCGTGAAATATTTTGGGGTCAACGATTCGTAAATATTATACATTACGATGTCGCCCAGGAACGTTATTTCATAGACTATGATAACTTCAACACAACCATTTCGGTGAGTAACCGAATTTGTCAGGATTGTTTCAGATGTACAAAAAATGAACAGAGACACCAACGCCTGTTTTTGAAGCTCTCTAGTATAAGAAGAGTTCTGCGTCCTCCATTTGAAAAAAAAGATATTACTATGCCATGCACATCTGTAAATAGCTTTGCCTTCCTCTAAACCCATTTTCCCCAATCGCAGGTGGACATGCCCCTCAAACAACCAGAGCAGAAATTGCAACTGGAGTACAGGAAGTAAAGCGAATAAAATATAGGTGATATAATCTATGGTATACATATGTATATATATACATACGTACATTCTAAATAAATACGACTATATAGATTATATTTGTTCAAAAACTAATAAAAATTCGCTTTGGAATTGATTTATAAAAAGTATTTCAAACATTTTATTTTGTAAAGTGGTGAGCTCAAGCACATTTTTCGAATAATGCAATACCATGATGATTTGAACAATTTTCAAAACTCATAGACACAAATTCAAATGCAAATGGAAACATGAAATAGATGAACGTGCAACTTATTTATAAACCAATGTAACACAAATTGCTTAATAATGAGTTCATTACATAAAGCAGCAGAATTGATTTCCATTTCTTTTACGTATAATTAACATTTAAGGAACGGGGTTAAAGAAAGAAAAAATCAGCACCGATGATAAGCAAACAATACATATGTACTACATACATGAAATAACTGAAAACAGACAATTGATATCTAGATTTAGAGCCCGAAAATCTGTAAATCATTCCTTTTCCTCGCGTTCCTGCTCTATTTTCTGCAGCTGTGCCTTTAGCATGTCATTTTCAAGCTGAAGGCGCACAAACTCTTGTGTAAATTGATCAGTTTGGAGGAGCATCGCTAAGGCATCACGTATTTCTCGCGTATTGTCTATCTGATGATTCCAATAATTGGAGGCCTGAGTAAAAATCTCCCATTTGTTTTTCTCGCTCACAAATTTGAACTCGCGTTCCATTTGATTGAAGCGCTCCTCAAAGTATTCACGCATCTCTCCCAGCTCCTTGCGTACATCTGTGTTGCATTCAAGCGCGGAAACGGAGGAGGCAGTAAGACCACTGGAGCTTTTCGGCAGCAGCTGCTGTGGCTGTGATAGCGGCGTACATTTCACATGATGCGGTGTGCTGTTGCGACTAGCTGAGAGCAAACGGAGGTGGCGTTTCAGGTCCAAGTCGACTTGCTGGGGATTCTCCTTATCGCTGCCAGTGCCCGTGCTGCTGGTGAGGGAACAGTTGGCTGACTGCTCATCGGTCTCGGCAATTTGCTGCAGCTTAGCCTCGCCAGAAATGTTGCTGCGATCACGTAAGGGGCCGCTCAACGTTTCTGTAAAGCCTAGGAGGCACTAACTTAAATATCGTATTCGAATTAAGGACGACAGACTTACGCTGCAGCTTGCTACCATCGCTGGATTCCCCCGACGAGCTATTGGCACTGTCAAGGGAAGTTAGACCCGAGCCAATTTGGCAGATGCTCTGCCGCTGCTCCTCATTGCTGGGCCTGCGGTTCAGGGTTTCCCAATCGAAACTGTCACGTCGTTGCGAAAAGCGCGTAGACACGCGCTCCAAATGCCTATAGCCCTGGGCATCAAAGAAATCGCAAAACGAGTCACGTTGAGCGCGCGGTGCTGCCGGCGTAGCCATAATAGAGGCATAGCCTATGGAGCTGCTCATGGCCTCTAGCTGTTGCTGCGTGCTGAGCAAATTGGCAGCTATAGATTTGCGCAAATCGTCGCAACCAGTAGGCACAGCCTCCAACACCTGCACCGGTTTAACAGTAGACACGGTTCCTGGCGTTTCTGCCTCAACAGTAACATTAACATTAGAGCTGGACAAGCTACTACTTGAGTAATCCTCCTTGGACATGGGCACAAAGGCGATGCGTGTGACAGCACATTCGTGGACATTGCGGACCGCCAGCGGCGATTTTGTGCTCCGCATATCATAGGCAATGAGCTCACCCTTAAGATTGCCGGCACAGAAATATGTGCCGCACTCACTCAACGCCACCGTGGACAACGGATGCGAGTAGCTGAGACGACCAGACGGCGCCTGCACTCTGCGTCGAATGTCAAAAATGTTAATCTTGCAGTCGTAGCCAACGCTGACCAGCAAAGCCGGTTGCGCACTACACATGCTTATATCCCGACATGGCGCATCGTGGGCATCATTAATATTAAGCAGCTTCCGTTTATACTGCATGTCGTAAACAGTGACAGCGCCCTTGTACGAAGCCACCGACAATTGAAAACGTTTAGCAGGATGAAAACGTGCCAGAGTTGCATTATCATCAAAGGTGAGCGTCTCGATTTTGTTCTTGGTCTTAGTGCCGTAGATGTTAATGCTGCCCGATTCCCGCACTGCAGCTATATACTCGTCGGTGCTATTGTAGTCTACATAGAGCACCGTACTGCGCGGCTGATCCGCCGGAAAGCGATGTATAAGCTGGGCCGTTCGATAGTTGTAAAGCTTCACAAACCCAGTCGACTGGCCAACGGCAATCTCCTCAAGGCTCTGCTTGGCACAGCCCACGCAGAAGGCATTATCGATGGTCAGTTTGCGCACGCGCTGTATTTCGGGAGCTGCAACAACACTCGAAGTTTACTGTAATTGCTTAGTAAGTGCTTTAAATTTAAACAGTTACCTTTCTCCTGCTTCTCCTTTATGCGCATCACCGCTAGACCTGTTGTTTTCTCAACTTCGACGAACACTTTTTTTTGCGCATTAAACTGAAAATCTGTCGTTTCTCCATTTGCATGCACATATGTTGACTTAGTTTCTAGATCAGCAAAATCCGAGAGCACTGTCTGCTTCGCAGTGGATATTAAATGCATTTTGTTTATTACTTTAGTGTCGCGCGATCGTTGGAAATACAAAACTAGCGGCAATGAATAATAATTACAAAGCCGTCTAATTTTTAAAACGGCGATAAAATAGCGTTGCCACTTGCTAAAATAAAATAAGTTATTCTCACTTAAAAATATCAAGTTAAATACGACAAATCAAGTGACAACTTGAAATAAAATCTGCTATTAACATAAAAAAGTTGCATAAAATTGCTTATTAAAAAAATTGCCCACGGCGGCGCTGCTTTGCATGTTAAGGCTGTGAACGGCGCTAGCGTGCGGCAAATTAACGGCTTCGAATTAGTCTACGTCAAAATTGTAGTAGTGGTAAGAAGCAGAGCAAAAGAGCGTATCACTAGCAGAAAAGGGCAGAAAATTTGTGAAAATAATTGTAAAAAACAAGACCTGCCACTGCATGTGCAACTCACAACATATTGTGAGCAGACGATATCGTAGAAATGTTAAAAGGTGTGCACAATTTTGCCCAAGCAAGTCCGAATCTGACATTTCCATTGAATATTTGCAGACAACAGCAAAAACAACACGAAACGCAGAAATTTGTTAAAGTGAAGGGGGCGCGGTATAGGAAACACAGCGGAAGAAGGGCAGGTGGCATTAGTGCGGACCTTCAGAGTAAGTTGCGTGTAATATCCGCAACGCTAGCGGGAATAACAATTTTCAATTGTAGCTGCAAAGGACAAAGGGCGAAAGTCACAACAATAACAACGGAAACAAGCAGAAAGACATTTAGATAGACACCATGGATGCGGATGGACTGACAAATGAGCAAACAGAGAAGGTGCTACAGTTCCAGGATTTGACAGGGATTGAGGATATGAATGTGTGTCGCGATGTCCTTATACGACATCAATGGGATCTGGAAGTTGCTTTTCAAGAGCAATTGAACATACGCGAAGGCCGTCCTACTATGTTTGCAGCCTCGACGGAAGTGCGTGCGCCGGCCGTCATCAATGATCGTTTCCTGCAACAAATCTTCTCGGCCAACATGCCTGGTGGTAGGACCGTGAGTCGCGTTCCAAGCGGTCCAATACCGCGTAGCCTCACGGGTATTATCAGCTATGTGATCAATATCGTATTCCAATACTTTTACTCGACGATATCGAGCATTTGTAGTGCATTTGTCAACTTTGGTGGCGGAAATGAGCCTCGGATTGTCACAGACCCCTTGGGCGATGTGATGAAGTTTATACGGGACTTCTACGAACGATATCCGGAACATCCCGTTTTTTACCAAGGCACTTATGCCCAGGCATTAAATGATGCTAAGCAGGAGCTGCGCTTTTTGCTCGTCTATCTGCACAAGGATCCCAGCAAGAATCCGGACGTTGATTCATTTTGCCGCGAGACACTAGCCGACCGTTCCGTTATTGACTACATTAACACACACACACTGCTCTGGGGTTGTGACGTGTCCACGCCCGAGGGATATCGCGTTATGCAGTCTATTACGGTGCGCAACTATCCTCTGATGATAATGATAAGTTTGCGAGCGAATCGCATGGTTATTGTGGGACGTTTTGAAGGCGACTGCACGCCAGAGGAGCTGTTGCGTCGTCTCCAGGCTGTGGTAGCGGCTAACGAAGTATGGCTAAGTCAGGCGCGTGCAGATCGATTGGAGCGTAATTTTACACAGACCCTGCGACGCCAGCAGGATGAGGCGTACCAGCAGAGCTTACGGGCCGATGAGGAGAAGGAGCGTCAGCGTCAAATCGAAAGAGATGCGGCACGACAACTTGTAGAGGCTGAGGAGCGTGCACGTCGAGATGTGGAGCTACGCAAGGAGGAAATTTCTAGGCAGAAAATTGAGCTAGCCACGCTGGTTCCGGCTGAACCGTCGCCCGATTCGATTGACACTATTGCTGTCGTCTTCAAAATGCCCAGTGGAATGCGCCTGGAGCGACGTTTTCGTCAGACAGATTCGATTTTGGTAAGGAATAATAAATGCTTAATTGATTGATTGATTACAATGATTTTTAAAATTTTTTTGTACAGGATGTTTACCGGTTTTTGTTTTGTCATCCCGAATCTCCGGATGAATTCGAAATAACAACGAATTTTCCCAAACGTGTGCTCTACTCCAAGTCGACTTTGGATGCAGGCGCTGAGGGCTCCGCCCACAAGACTCTTAAGGAGGTAGGTCTAAAGAATCGCGAGGTGCTCTTCGTTAATGATCTGGAGGCGTAACCAAACGACACCACCAAAGCGGAAGCAGCAGCGTTCCGTTCAACGTCCTCACATGTTTGAGGCGTTGTTAATACCGGCTGGAGCAAACAACAATTGAGAATAGATATGTTCAGCTCACAATTGTGTGAAATATTCCTAATTTAATCTGAATACACATACATACAACATATATGATTGTTTAACAATTTGCTTAAGTTAACTCTCTTGTATCCTTCTTTATCCTTATCTTTCACCCATGAACACAGTCTAGGTTTCTTGTGAACAAGTGTTGCTTTAACTGTACTTATGTTAGATACACTACTTTTTGTTTAAATAATATTATTAAACAAAGACAACTTCACTGATAAAAAAGTGCGCCTTTTCGTTTTCAAAATTTCAATTTAGAAATGTTTTTTAAAGCGATCCGGCAGCTCTGGTGCAAGTATCGATACCATTATGCGATAGCTTAATAAGCTTGTCGATAGCTTGACAGCTCGCTACGACTCATGCAAATGACTAAGAACCTGCCACACACACACATTGTACGTACACATTTGTGATCTACGCTGGACGACGACACTCATAGCTTTGATTTAAATTTTAGTGACGATAATTATAATTCAGACGAGCGTGCGCCTCTCTTGCCGAAAAGTCGTCTAAAATCGAGAGATTCGGGAGTACGGCAGAAAATAAGGCAGCTGACGTCTCAGCTGTTCGACGTGGAACAATTTTCGTACCAGAGATTAAAATCGACACAGGAGCGCGTGTCACACCAAAACAAATACACCAGTAGGAGCAGCAAGAAAACCATGTCAGCATCCTCATCAGCAGCAAATGCCGCGGCCGATGCTGCGGCAGCACTTTCAGGAAATTTGCAGTTGCCACCGCTGCGCACCTTGGACGACTTTGTGCTCGGGTCAGCACGTTTCCAGCTTCCAAACCTCAAGGACTTTGACAAGTGGGGCAATCGTGTGGTAAAAAACTTACTCTACTACCAAACCAATTACTTCCTACTCTTCTTGGCCATATATGCGTTGATGGTGGTTTTCAATCCGGTTAAGATCATTAGCGGTCTCTTGGTGCAGGCTATCATCATTGCCGTCATCTGGCAGTTCTTCAGTGGCAAATCTAAATCGAATTTTATCGCCAGCCGCCTAAGCGGTGGATTGGCCGCCCAACAAAATGCTCAACAAAAGTGGTACATTCTGGCCGGTGCTCTGCTCTCCTGTTACATCTTCTTGCACTGCATCAGCGCTGTGTTGCTGACCGCCTTCACCTTGCTGTTGCCCATATCGGTGACCTTTGTTCATGCATCGCTGCGACTGCGCAATATAAAGAACAAATTGACCAACACAATCGAAAGTTTTGGACCCACAACACCTATGGGCGTGCTCTTGGATGCCTTGAATGTTCGTGCGGATGCCATTCTTAACTAAAGGATAATTATTAAAGCGTTTGCATTACTGAAGTTTTACCCCCAATGTTGATCAATTATGAATGCTTTAGCTTTCAAAAACCGTATTACTCGATAATCGATTTGATCTTTTATTATTTTTACTATTTAATCATGAATTTGTTACAATTATCAATATAGTCTGCAATTTTGATTGTCAATAAAGTTGTCCAATAAAGTTTAAATGATAACTAATAGTGTGCATTGCTGATAAAAAGGATTAAAGAATTGACGTGCTGCGAATGCGTGTATATTTATAAATGTACAGCATATATTGGTTAACAGAAACAATTCCCCCATTTATGTATTCGATAATATATAGACCAAATACTTTGTATTATTTTTATTTAAATTTCCAGCATCTTTTGAACCTATACATATTTTTCCAGCATAGAATAGATAATCGTTGTTATCACCCATTCTTTAAAAAAATGGCAGGTAAATTGTTTATTTTTGTTCATGTTGATTGCACTGATAAGCACACCTTCTTAATCAGTCCACACCACACTATTTATTAATGATTGTAAAGTGTCAGACTTCGCGTTCATCCACACTTTCAGACGATCTCGTAGCTGCCATATCGTATTCATTCTAGAGAGTGGAGTCACGTGGCTCAGCAAAATGCTAGGCACTTTTGATTTAAGGTCACAGGATGGCACTTTTTCCACAAAATCGGGCGGACAGTAGGCCTCATCGTGTTGTTGCACAAAGTTATGCAGAACCACCACGGCCTTTACTATTTTCACTGCATTCGTTGGACTCATGGGTAGCGGCTTGGTGAGCACAGACCAGCGGGAAAATAGGACATCGAATGCTTTCCCGATGCTGCCTTCCAGCGCTTGGGATAGCAACTTGTTAAATTGTACTTGATCTCTGTTCAAATTCCCACCTGTGTAGGAAGTAATTAGATTCTCTCGCATGGGAAACGAAGCGTCAGCTATGTATGTATAGGCAGCGTTTGCAATGTCTGTTTCGTCTAATGGCTCCGCTGGCATTAGATCGCTCAATTGATGATTAAAGAGTTGTGTTGCAAAATCTTGTTGCCACGTCAGTTTATTAGCTTCAACAGTTGCTATGTCTATGCTGGTAAAGGCAAGATTTGTGTCGCAACTCGCGAGCAGCACTATTTCTTTTTGGCCTCTGTAAGACAGGTCCACTAGCTTACAGTCGACGGCGCCTAGACAATGCGGTACGTGCCACATCTGCTCATAGTTCTCGGCAATATTTGTATAAGCTTGTTCATTTGGTTGGGGCAAGAAAGCTGGCGCCAATATGTTCCAGAGCAGATCGCACGTTTCTTGGACAATTGCGCGCACTGTCGACGGACCCATTTTAAAAGCCTTGGATAGCTCCAGGACGCTCTCAGCATTGGCCAAATAACTGAAATGTGAATAAATTTGAAGTTATATAAAAATTCTATGAAGCCAAGTCGAATTTGCTTACATCAGCGTCAAAAACAGACGACACTCGGGAGCTATGGGTGTACGTATGGAATTTTTATTCAGCTGCTCACCCACTAGGCAGAACAGCATATCAAAAACCTGGGGCGTCATGCGCGTCCGATTTTTGAACTCGTCATGATTGTGCTGATAAATGCGCTCAAAGGTGGTGGCGAAGAGCCCATCTGCATCGCGACTTTGGTTCTCCTTCTTGACCCATATTTTGCGATTGTTTTGGGGTTGCCTGTTGGCAATTTTCCTTTTCCGTGCGGACCTTTGTGGTTGTTTGTGACTAGTTTCTGGCGGCGGTGGGGGCGATAAGACACGTCTGCACAATCGTTTGATTCTTCTAGTTTCTGATGGTAATTGCTCCAAGTTCTGCAGTGCGCTATATAGTAAGGGCACAATCTTTTGCAACCAACGCAGCTCAGCTAGCTCCATTGTTTATGTTAAATGCAGGTTTGTTTACATATGGCAGCCCTGGTTTGGCTAAGAGCAGTGCTAGAAAACTCCAAAAACACTCAACGGCTACGACTTAATAGAGTAATTTAAAAATTGGTTAAAGACCGAGAGAAACCATGAAACTGTTTGTTCGTTTGGGCAACTAGGTAATTGCCCAATAGTTCCTATGTCAGTCACTTAAGTTCAAGAATATTTTGTAGCTTATTACAAATTGTTTCCATATATAAAAATTAGATAACGTTCATTTCTTCTTAACTTTACACATGTAGTTTTACTGAGAGAGTTTTTCGTTGTTCAAAAAATTACAATATATTGCGGAAATGCAGAAGTAAGAAGAATTTTAAAATTTTTAGTTCCACAGACCGACATGGCTAATTTAATTCAGCTCGTCAAGCTGATAAAGAATGTGTACTTTTATTTTATTGCTTTATTCTTTGCGCTACAGCTACAAACTATCTATAGGCAGTATACAAGGTATACAGAGCTTGATACTTGATAAGCAAGAAAATAAAGAGCATTATTTTTTCTAGGGCATGGTGGCGGATGATTCAAAAAGTCTCGTAATATTATTTATTTTTACGGCACAATTGAACGCTGGTAACTGAAAACTATCCACTTGTTTGTTTATTATCCTTCAATTGCTTACAGATTTTGATAAGCAGAGCTAAGGAATTTGAGTAATCTATTTTTGTTTTTAAAAAGAGCAAAGAGCAGGCATGGATATACATAGTTACAGATTATCTCTTTTCTGAGACACTCTCTTCAACTGACTCTCTTATACTCTCCGACTCAATTTGAGTAAAATTTATGGAAGGCTCTTGTAATTTAAGAACGCTTGCAGCTGACTTCGGATCAGTTGTTTGTCAGTTATTTTGCTTAATGGACATGTCGCACTCCCTTGTCGAGATAGAACGTAGCGATTGGGCTCAGCTTAGGGATCTTTATGTCCATAAGCGAACTGAATCGGTCGGCTACCAGTGCCTGAAAAACTTCATCAGTTGGATAGATCAAGAGCCAAGTGAGAGCATTAAGTTGTTATCGTTGGACGGCGACTGGAAAACAGATGGAACTTTTATTATCGTTGTAAGTATAATGTGTACGAGTACATGAATATAGACATGCATGTGTGTGCTGCCTATGTACTTACTACATAGTACATACATACATATATAGTATACAGCATTAATTGCATTGTCATTGTCGTCTTTATCCGTACATTTTTCTTTTCTTCAAGGCAAATATTGGCGGCTGTTTGAAGCACGTTTATTTTAATACTTTGACTGAGAACTTGGAACGCCTTAAAATCGCACTGAATTGTTTGGAAGGGAAATCTGGGGACTATTTGCTTTTTGGGTACAGCGCACATCTTATACCTGCGCTGGAAAACTTCGCGAAAAGGTTGACAGGTAAACCATTATTACCGGGCGAACAGGAGGAGACCGTCTGGTATCATGCCAGCAAGAAATTAGTAGACAGTTTTACGATCAAGTAAGTCTGCATGTGCTTACACGTTTATGCTAGCACAACAGCTGGAAATCAATTCTTGAAATGTGAAAGAGAACCACTTGGCCGCGAATGGCGATGCCAGACCTCGCGATCACCAATTGTGCCTGCATTGATTTGCTGTTTGATCTCAGCATCAATACAATAATCATTCAATTCAGTTAAAGAAAAGAGTGAAGGATTATGCGATTTGGGAGAAGGAAGAAGTGATCAAATCTTATTTATAATTTAGCTGACCAGCATACTGATGTATGACCCAATTTAATTTTCCGACTACACTATTACATTAGCAATTATTAGAAATTTAAATGTTGCGATGTAAACGACCAAATATCTTTAAATTTCTTATATAAAAAGGTGTGTCTCAGAAATATCAATAGAATAACTTTAGCCAAACGCCATTTCACAGCTATAGCTATTTCAGTTACGAAGTCATCCAAGTTTTATTATTTAGTCTGTTTTTTTTTCACAATACGTACTTATTTGAATTCAATTTTTTACTCAAAAGATATTGCATAGAAAGTAAAGCTTGTTTACTTTAATGGCTTTTAATGTTCAAAAAACATTCACTTTTAGAACTTTTCCTCTCCCCGCTACAGAATTCAAGTCCATTCAAGTAATATATTCACAAGTCTTTACTTTACAAATTGGATCCAAATCGGTTGGTTTGAAGAGAAGCTATGTTTTAAATATTTAGGACATTTTTTTGATACATTGCAAATGTCAGATAACCAGTACCTATTTGTAGATAATTATTATTATGATTAGCTGCGAAACTCTTGGTTCTTTGAATTTAAGTGTTGACTAGCATACATAATTTGTAAGTGATTTCCAATTGTATCTCCCTATAAAGAGTTTCATTTTCAGCGTTCCGGAAGGTATTAAATTGGCCGATTTGGTCATTGAAAATGCTGAGCAGATAAATGAAATCTGGCCGCATCGTGCGCCTGGTTCTGTGGATTTTGTCAGGCGGCTAATACTTTATAATGTATCTGTGGGTGCCTTTGATGGGGCTGGAAACTTGATTGCCTGGTGTTTGAGGTAAGACAGAATGTTTAAAATATATTAAATACATATTTGATTTCGACCATTCACACATTTTAGGCTTCCACTTGGCTCGTTGGGATTGCTGCACGTTACAGATGGGCAGAAACGAAAGGGTCTAGGAAGCTTATTGGTGCGCTATATGTCGAAGAAACTTGCAGAATTGGGTGATGAGGCCTTGGCACCTGTGGTGGTCAAGAACGTTGCCTCGCGTAGTATGTTTGAAAAGTTGGGTTTCAGACAAATCGATAGTGTATATTGGAGTGCGGTTTAACAACATACTCACACATAACAATTACGTTATAGTATTTTACCAAATAAAAATATAGTTACTCTGTAAATAATCCCTAATGGAGCGTGTATATTTTTCAAATTACCTGAAATATTATTACGCCTATTTGTGGACCGCAAATATCGAACCAGCAGTCTAGTAAATATGTCTGGTATGTACTTCTTTGGGAAACCCAGACAATATTCATAAATTGGCGGCGACAACAAACTTCCCCAATAAATCCTCGTGCCGATGACGACCAATATTCAATTATTCAGTAACAAATATGCATATTGTTGCGAGCAAGTTCAATTACGTCACAGTTGGCCATTAAGACGTCGAGAGAGCACTTTCAAGTTGCTAAACATTTGGCCAAACAAGTCTGGATCAAAGAGCGCCTGCAGCATGGCAAATTTCTATACAGTTTGTATAACCGCAACATTATTAATCTATTGAATTCCCGCAGTTGTTCGTAGAACGAGCTTTTAGGAGATAACGACGTCAGCAAACAAAATACTATTCTCAGTCCATCGAAAAGCACACACCCTAGATAGATATCTAAGGCGGTAGTTATTGTTCAATTAGCAAACAATTTTGAAATTATATTAATAAATAATGCAGTGAGTCATTGTGTTTTAACAAATCTGGTTTAATGTGATAACTAAGTATTGAACTGTATTAGTAATGTTTTTTAGAAGAATACGACTTAAAAGTATTCACTCGAGTTCTGCAATTATATACCTGAAATCGAAAAAGTGGTTTATATTTTTTTTATAATATTTATGAAATACTAACGGCCCAGCACGAATATTTAATACTAATTTAAAAAACTATACATTTTTTTTGAGTTACTAAAAAAGAGTAAGATTATAAGGAACGTTCGAATATTATTATTTAAATGGTTTTTAAAAAAATTGTTTGTTCCAATTTTTGTGAAAAGATCATATTTACAAAACAAAAGTCATTAAATTGAATGAGTAATAGAGCTCCTGTAAATGATATTTGACGTTGTTTTATTTAAATTGCTCGGACCTACATTCTTTTCGTACGTCGATCCCTACTAACTCGATCATTTTTGTACATCTTGGGTTACATTATTATAGTAAAGTTTTGGTAGGCTAGTTTTTTTTTTTTACACACATATAGTATGTAATATAGCATATATCATATAGTATAGCTTTCCAACAGTGAAAGAATTCTGCAGTAGTTTCGGAGCCTTTTCAATTCAAGCAAACAAATAAACAATCTAATCTTTTCTCTTTATAATACTACTTAGTATAGGTAAAACGGCTTCTCTATTAAAAAAGATTAAGAATAAAATGTCAGAATATTAAAAGGTTTTAATTATTTTCATTAAATACAATTGTTTAACACTGCACAGTAAAATTGTCAACAATATTTAGTTCAACGTCTAATAATTATGAACAGCTTCGAAAATGATCATCCATTTAATTAACAATTTCGTTTTTTAAAGTAAAATTCAATGGGTTATCAAAAAAAAAAAAAAAAATGAAAAAGATCTGTTAAAACTAACAAACCTTATATAAGCACAAATAAAAGTAGGGTATCTGGCATAAATACAACAAAAGGTGAAGACAGCTTTGCAGGTGCTTCCCCAATTCTGCGAACATGCCTGATTAGAAATTCGATCATTATTGATAAGGGATAAGATGAAATGGAGAATATACAAACAAAGGTGATGTTCGAAAAAGAATTCATTACTTGTAAAATTGTCATTCATTGACACTGAAAACCATGTGATCTACAAGTATAACGAAAAGTCTTATTAATCCAAAAAGATAGTTACAAAAGGCATAAGATATAGAGTAATACCTGATTGGCAGATCGTGACAACTATTGTACAACAAGAGAGCTGGGGATAACCCCGAGTCATGTAAAAGCCTTGCAATGAGTCGGCGGGCGATTCTCCATTCTAGCAACAATAATAACAATACTTTGTACAACAAAAGCGAACAACTGGAGCTGATGTCATGAGTGTGAGAGTGTGTGAGTGCGCGGCTTCAAGCTGGGCTCATCTCAGAGTCGGACTTGGCGGCTCTGATAACGAGTTTCGCACAACCGGGGCGACTATTCGTAAAATTGAAGCGCGCCGATAGCTGCAGGTTCAGTTTGAAAGCACCACCGAAGCGAAGTGAACGAGCACCGCGATTCGCGCATAACACCAATCGCTATTTAATTTATTCAGTACATACATACGTATGTGGCTATGTATGTACACACAATCGTATATGTATAGTACCTCATATATAGCTGCTCGATTAAACTAATCACAAGAGACGAAATATAGTAATAACCGCATAACCAACAAAACACATTAATTGAAAAGTGAATTTAATTTTGTCACGAAATGTCGCGAATTTTGTACGCTTTGGTGGCCATTCTGGGGCTGACCGCTCTCGTGGAGATTTGCGGTAGCTGTAGCCTTATTCGGGACCACATACGCAGTGAAGCGAATCAGGCTCTGGTTGAGAGCTACAATCAACCACAGCGATCACAGAATGATGCTGCAGCACCACCGCCTGTTTTCGCACCGCTGCCACCATCAGCTGCTCCTGCCCCTGCCCCTGAACCTCAGGCGATAACTGCTGCTGGCTTCGGCCTCGGTCTCGGCACTGATAACGTCGATCTGCGGGCTTCGGACGCGATCGCACGCAATGTTTTAAATTTCGCCAACTCACTGGGCCAACATTTGAGCACCACATATAGGAAGACCGAGGTGTTCTCCCCCCTCAGTGTGATGTCTGCCCTGGCCCTACTACTCGCTGGCTCGAATGGTAAAAGCTATGAGCAGCTTTCGCAAGTGTTTGGACTTAACGATCAGGAGCTGCAATCCAATTCCACCAAGCTGCATGAGCAATTCGGCTTGCTACTCAAGGATGTGCAGCAACCGACCCTGGAAATGGTTTCGCCTCAGCGACGTCTAGACCCCTGGCGTTACACCAAGGCCGGCAATATGCGCAGCAATCGACGCTCTGCGAATCGGCCCTCCGGTCATGCCATCCATTTGGCCAATGGCTTGTTCACACAGTTGGGCTACACCCTGAATCCGGACTACAGGTGAGAGCAGCACAGGTGGAATTATCTAAACACACCTACTACATACATACATAGTTGTATGTATGTACAGCAGAGATTCACAATTAAATAGAGCTCAGGTGCAGCGTAAAGCTGTTAATCAGCTCGAACTGGAAATACCATTCATTAGTCTGATCGTTCACACGTTTACGTTTCGCTTCGCGATTGTCATAAGTGCATATTTCTACCCTTTCGGGAGAAGAGTACATTGAGCTTTTCCTACTGGTAGTGGGGCCACACAATCAAAATACACTCTATTGAAATGTCTATCACAAATACTCTAAAGTGTTATGAAGAATCCCCAACTAGGAGTCCTCAACAATTCAGCATAATTTAACTATGGATTACAGGGGGTTTGAATATCGGTTCCTCCTTCTCTAGATAGATGTATGTACTTGTATTACGATTCAAGTTTCTACCTCGGATCTACCTCGAATTCTTTCAATGGATATTTTCCCGCATCGGTTATGGTTTTATTGTCTACATTTCCAGGGTTTGTAATCAAAAAATAATGGTAGAAATAAATAGAAATAGGTAACAAGATATGCTCTGAATAATTTTTAAATCTGAAGAGGCAGCATATAGTAGTTTAGTAGTTCTAAGCGTATACAGATTTCGACTCGAACAACTCAATTTCACGTGCATACCAGTTATTTATTTTTAAGCTGATACTTATGCTTTTTTAATTGCAGAAATGTCATTACAAATATATACCGCTCGGAACTGCAGCCGTTGGACTTCCAGACCAAGCCTGCACAGTCACGCCTCATCATCAACGATTGGGTGGAGCAGAAGACCTTGGGCAAGATCCCGAATATCATTGCCAGTGAAGTGTCTCAAGCCACACGTGTGATCATGGCCAATGCATTGTATTTTAAGGGCTTCTGGGAGCAGGATTTCATTGACTCAGCCACCAAGCTGGACAACTTCTATCCGAATGGCGAGTCGGAGGCGCCGGTGCGCGTCCAACTGATGGGCACTGGTGGCACCTTCCCCTACTATGAAGATCCCCAACTGAATTGCCGCATTATTGGAATGCCCTATCGTGGGAATCTTAGTACCATGTACGTCATACAGCCACATCAGTCGACCGCGTCACGTCTTCAGCAGTTGCAACAGAATTTGAATGCAGACAGAATTGAGGAAATGATCTCGAAAATGACCAGACGCTCGGCTCTATTGGCATTCCCTAAAATGCACATAGTCGAGTCCATCAATATGAAGGAATTGCTTAGGCGCATGGGCATCTCCAGTATTTTCAGTGAGTTGGAAAGCGACTTGTCGCTGATTGCAGAGCCGGCGTCCAGGCCTGGTCAGAGCGACGGCACAGATCGTCCATTTGTGTTCTCCCCACGTAGCAGCTTCGGCAAGAGCGCAGACAGCCTGCAAAACCTTGATGACCAGCGATCAGTGACACGCCAAAATAGTGTACGCCAGTCGAATATGTTCGTCGACGAAATTGTACACAAGGTTGACTTTGAGGTCAACGAACAGGGCACTGAGGCAGCCGCCGCTACAATCACATACCTGAACAAATCTGGGCCGGATGTGCTTTTCCGCGCCGATGCTCCATTTATATTGCTACTACGCCATGATGCCACAAAACTTGTGCTCTTCTATGGCATCATCAATGAGCCGCCAGTGTCTAAATAAGCATTAAGACTTAGCTACTAAGATATGTATGTAGTACGTTTCGTTGACATTTAAGTGATTAAGTCTTGAGGACTTTACTCTAAAATATATAATAAATTAATCTTAAATTAAATTAAAGCTGCCTTTCAAATGAAGGAAAATTAAAATTGTTTCTTTAGAATTCAATTCAAATTGCCGACCACCTACTGTAGTCCTGTAAGTCATTATTTAAAAGAAGGTCAGTAGGTATTACTCGCAACTAGCAAATTTCTCGCAGTTTTTTATTTATTTCCTTTCAATTGAAATAACTTATGCGAGGGTTTTTTATTAGAGCAACAATTATGGATTTTATAAGATTACAATGTAATGAATATAATAATTAAATGCCATCAAAAAGTGTTCAGTTTGGTTCCAATAGCAACACATAACAAATTAAAATCAAACTCACACAAGTAGTTTCGTTAAATTACAAAACTTGATTAGGCGCTACCATTTTGAGATTTTTCAGCACTGTAACATTGAAACAGTGCTGCCAAGTCGATAAAATCAAAAACATATGTATTCACATATGTGTCACTGTTTTTATTGCCGCAGATAATTCTTATTGCAACTGTAAATTTTTGCATTTAATAGTTGTAGTTCGTAAAATGAGTAAGTAGCTGCGACAAATTTATTTGTATGCTGAAATTAAAATAAATGCCGTGTGATAGGCTTTTTGCCCGATTCGGACAGCGAGGATGAGCTGCCACCCGGCTGGGAGGAACGTTCCACAGATGATGGCGTTGTTTGTTATATTAAGTAGGTACATCAACAATTTGCAAATGCTTACATACTTACGTACTTTATTTATTCTAGTCAACAGAGCAGGCTCTCACAGTGGACACATCCCCGCACTGGACGTCCCAAACGTATAACCGGCGAGCTGCCCATTGCCTGGGAAAAATACTACGATGAACAAACAAAGAGGACCATGTTTTACAATAAAGAGACGCAACAGCGCACAAATGCTGACCCTCGTTTGGCCTTTGCAGTGGAGGAGCCGCCCTTAACTGCGGCAGATGTGCGTTAGCGTCTCAAAAATTTCAGAAATGTGTTCATCTTTATAATCTCAATGTTCTTGCTAGGTGCGACAACGTTTCGATTCTTGCACCACCGCATTGCAGGTGCTGCATGGTAAGGATTTGCATGGCCGCCTTGCGATCATTACAGGAGCCAATTCAGGCATTGGTTTCGAGACAGCACGTTCTCTGGCTCTGCACGGTTGTGAGATAATCTTTGCGTGCCGCAATCAGGAAGCCACTGAAGTGGCTATAGATCGTATTGCCCAGGAGCGGCCGGCGGCACGTTCTAGATGTCGCTTTTTAGCGTTAGACTTGGGCTGTTTAGAGGACGTGCAAGAATTTGCCGAGGAAATAAAGCGCAGTGTTAAGTGAGTGGATTGTATAGTTTTATAAAGCCGTAGCTCTCTGCCATATGTCGCATTGATTTTATAAAGTACCACAATGTTATTCTGAGATACCAGAAGTAATTTAAAATGTTCACCTAGACGAACTTAAAAAAAAATCCATTATAATTGTACATCCTACCTTTTAGAGTTCTAAATTCTTAAATAACAAAAGCTCTAGATTAGTAATCAGTACAGAAAAAGCAAAAGTGTTCCTTCAGCAGAAACTTTCCTAACTTAATATTTCATTTTCTTTGCAGCCATATCGACTACTTGATTCTTAATGCCGGAGTCTTTGCTCTGCCTTACACCCAGACTGTAGATGGTCTGGAGACCACATTCCAAGTGTCTCATCTCTCCCACTTTCATTTGACAATGCAGCTGGAAGCGTTGTTCGATCACAGGTCCCGAATTGTTGTGGTCTCTTCGGAATCGCACAGGTGAGTGCTGGCAGCTGTTTTTAACCACCTCTACATTATTATTAAGATATGGAGAAGGAAAGTCTCACGCAAGAGAATGAAAAAACAATTTATGCTCACAAGAGGTAAAATGTAGCTCCACCTCCTTTAGGTAAGCAGTTCTCTAGACGAGGAATGCATAACTTGGTCAGCGTTTAATGTTGACGATGCTTGCTCCAACTTCTGGCTAAGTCACATTAAAAATGTCCTTCCAGCATTTTGCCTAGGCCATAAGATCGGTGTAGCCCTTATGGCGGCAATTTTGTGCCCTGTTGGCTAGGTTCTGGTCATTTAGGAATGCCAGGATTTTGTAATTGGACAGGTCAGGGGAAGTAATCCCTAATGTGGTGGGATCTGGAAAGCTTCTATGACCTATGAAAAGCATCTAATCAGCTCTTGCCACGCCACGGTATCCATGATCGCCCCCTTTAACTTGTCTGTGTTCAGATGGAAATGATGCTTGACGCATAAGACCACTGGACTGTAGGATGGTTTCATCGGCTTGAAATGCTTATTTGCCGTCAGAGCGGGCCGCCTTTTCCTTGAATGTCCCTTTGGCTGTCTGAAACAGTTTCTTTCTCCGAGTTAAATGGTTCATCTCGATATATTAGCATGGATTCGGTTGGACAATCAGATGACCTTACATATGACGATCCCGACAAAAGATCGGACGATGTCTCCAGGGTTCCATATGAAATCCCCCAAGTGAACTGGAAAGGCGTAGTCCGTGTGCTGTGGATAGAACTGGACATCGATAGGTGTCCACAGTCCGCATAGTTGTAACCAAGCATCCCCTCGGCTACCATTATCCAGCGCTCAGCGCAGTCATGACCGTGTCGAGGGCCATACTTCCAGCAGTGCATATCGTTACGGCGCTCGCACACTATTCCCCCGATTTACCTGTTGCCTGACGGCTAACGCATAAAGCTTATGATAATGCTGTTGTATTTTTTTCATGTTTTGTTTTGTTCGTGCGCCTGCAGTCGCTTGTTTAGTTTGACACTATTTATTATTTTTTCGCCAAGTTGATTGCACTTTTATGCCTACGCTATTGGACTTTGGACCTGAGCCGGTTGCGGTCTAAGTTGGCGTCGCGGCCAACTATTTATAGTATGTAGTTTCGCTTGCCACAGATATGCATGTTAGTATGTATCTATCTGCAAAATATTTGCATACATATCTTTCAAATATTTCCGAGTGTTTGCCATTTTTTTTATCGTTGCTTAGTGTAAAGTGGAAGGGATTTTGTTTTTTGTTTATTATTTTTTGAAGGCAAAACATTATCAAAGCTTAGCTTTAAACATTTCATCGTTGCTGCTTTTTGTTGTTTTGTTTGTATGAACATACGTATGTATGTACATACATGTTTGTAACTGCGTTGTTTACAAATAAATTGCGCACTTCAAAGCTCTGATTACATTATCGCCAACGCAGCTGCTGTCACACACAAACGCAGAGACACACACATACGCACAATCAGACGAATTTTCAAGCCACAACGCGTACTCACGTGCAAGGCACATGCACAGTGGTACAAATTAAGTTTATATGGCGCTTTAATAGTTGCTCACCTGTATTCTAGATATTGCTGTGGAATCATAAAGCTCATTTCTTGCGAAAATTTTTTTTAAATATAGTAAAAGTACATATAGTAATATATATTAACAACGCAGCCATTTGATCTTTATATTTGTGGAATAGTAACTTCTTTAATACTTTGGTTACGTTAAAATTCAGTAAAAAAAACTAATATTGGTACGCATACATATATTTTATTTTTATTTATTTATTTATAAGCTTATCGTAGCGTTGCCAGATTACTTTTAAGTTATTATGCTAGTCATTAAATTTATTATTTTAATTTAATTGAGTTAATTATTAATTTAATTAATTTTATTTTTATTCTTTTATTTTCTTTCTTATATTTATATGTTTCTTTATTCTGATATATAATAAGATAAAATAATCTTATTATATATCAGCCAGGCTTTTACTTTAATTTGTATTAAAATGTTAAAGAAATTTTAGGAAATATTTTTAATTTAGCGCTAGCTTTTATTAAAATATAAATGAAATGATAAATGAATCAGAATGATCAATTGCTTTATATTTCGATAGCAGAGTCAATATTGAAGCTCTGCAAAAATATTTAATAAGGTTATGCAAATTTGTATAAGCCCTGAACGGAACTAATGGAGTTTTTTTGTAATAATTGTTTCGCGCTTAAATTAGGAGACTTAAAGAGTTTGGAAACAAAAATGTTCATCAGTTGTAGTTTCCCTTAGTTTTGTTAGGATGATCACACTGTGCCTATGTTGAGTTCGTGTACAACAATAAATCATGAAACTCGCGTGAATCGACGGAAGAAGCAAAAACGCAATTGAGTTGAAGTTGTTGGTGGTAGTTGTTGCTGTTGTTGTTGTTGTTGGTGGTATGTGGTGTCTGTCTTTCTGCCAAGCGAGAGACCATTCGCTGCGTTCGTTGCTTGTCTCACGTACAACAGTTTTTGGTTTCCTTTTATGTTTATTTTATTTTTTGCTTCTCTGTTGTATCTCGTGCTGCCTCGTTGGTGGTGCATTGAAAAAGTCGCGTGCGCCACTGCTGGCGTACTCGCTGCCAGTCATGTATGCCAGAGTCAAGCATCATCGTAATGTGGATAGATACAAATGCGTTCGTGATTAATGGCGTTGGCGCTGATTTTCAATTGAGGTCAGCAATACAATCACAAACACACACACACACACAAATAATACACATTTGTTAATTGTGCTTAAAAGCGACGCGTACTGCCAGAGATTCAATTGCTGGCCATTGCGTCCTACCACACAACAACAATTTCTGAGCAATTACAAGATTGCTGCTGGCTTGCCTGCCACTCAAATATGCAAATGCAATCTATTTTTGAAGTCGTCGCAAACAACAAACAACTAAACAAATCCAAAGTCCAAGTAACGGCTTTACCGGCTTGCGCATGCGCTACACATTTTGTTATTAATTGACTGTTTTATTTCTTTATTTTAATGCACTTTAATGCCTTGTGTTCTTCTTATTGAGAAGGCGCCTTAGACATTGGCATTGCCTAGACTTGAATGCTCCATTATTGCATCTCATTAACGTTCATTGAACGCCCGCGCCCTGCAAACAAGCACAACAATGCCGGGTGCGCCAATCAAGACTCGTTTGAGTTTTGTTGCGAGGGGCAAAGTCCAAATTGGGGCTGACTGAATGAATGATAAACATACACATACATGTACATATGTACATACATACATACTTATGTATGTATATATAAGCCGGCTTTGTAAATAAACAAAGATGTAAATGAGCCAAAAAACAATTGCGTCTTAATCGATGTGTTGGGAATTCTGATTCAATAAATTTGTAAACAAATATGAGAAACGTTTTTACTTTTTCATTTAATAAAAATTCAAAAGCAGTATAATTGTTGGATATCTTTAATCTTTTTGAAATGTTTTAGAGATGGTTTAAGTTTTTACAGAGAAAGATGTAAATTTGAAATTTCGATATGTTGTATTGCCACAGATTCGCCAGCCTGCCCACGGAAAATCTAACGCTGCAACATTTGTCGCCACCGGCGGAGAAATATTGGAGCATGATGGCCTACAACAATGCCAAACTGTGTAATGTGCTTTTCGCTCAGGAACTGGCGCTTGTAAGTGCTGCTCCCTCCATTAACCTACATACACAAACAGATGAATAGTTTCACTTTCATTTGCTCCTTTCCCATCAATACTTTTAGCGCTGGAAGAAACGCGGCATTTCTGTCTTCGCTCTACATCCCGGTAATATGGTTTCCTCACAATTGCAGCGCAACTATTGGTTCTATAGACTGCTCTTTGCCATCGCACGTCCCTTTACCAAATCGCTGGTGAGTTGCAGGCACTTTAACAGACTTTCATAAATTATTTTTGTCCATATCCTGACAACAGCAACAAGCGGCAGCCACAACTGTCTATTGCGCCACTGCCAATGAGTTGACGGCATTAACGGGACTTTATTTCAATAACTGCTATTTCTGTGAGCCGAGCAAACTGTCCAGAAGTGCGCAACTTCAGCAACAATTGTGGCAACTAAGCGAAAGTCTTACGGAAACGATCCTGATACCAACCAGACAAGGCAAATAAAATGTTTTTTGTTTTTTAATAAAATAATTTATACAGGTGTATGTCTATTTAAAGAGCCCTAAATACATATTTAAGTTTCGAGTATACATACATAGTGTGTTCTTAATTTTGTTGCTTAAACTACATTTTTATAAAAAGCCTAACTACAGTCTCTACCACGAGTTACAAGTGTTTGGGTTGACTAGAAATCTGTGACTCGTCCTTTGCGCTCCCAGTCGCCATAGCGTGTGGGCTCTGGACCAGCGGGACCACCAATTTCTCCAGTATGCGGGTTGACATTGTTGGGCCACGGCTTCAGAGGCTCCTGCTCCTGGAAGGGATGACGAGAGAATTCATCCAACTTGCCCAGCGGTGTTTTGGCGCGCAGTTTTTTTTGGAAAGCCATCAGCTTTTCGGTGCGTGTCTTGGGCTCCTTCACCTCAACCACTAGAGGGTCATCTTTGGTCAAGGCGCGCATTGTACTGCTCGTTGTGTAGTAGCTCACTAAATTGCAAAGGATTTTGTTAGTTAGTTGAAAGATCACACACACGAACACACACACACAAACACACCTTGCTTGGTGACCTGTGGCCAGGTACGCATGGATTGTTTGGCCAATGATTGCATTTTGTCAATGTCTGAATCTTTTGCACGATATTAAAAAGTAATGTTCTTGATGTTGGTATTTCACAATCAGTTCCACGGCTGATTACGTGTTGTCAGTTGCTCGGTTAAAACGCGTTTGCATTTATTGCCGCTGCGTTCGTTGTTTTTATAGGCGCGCTGTCGACTGCGACCACTTTATGCTGCCACCAAATGTTGGATTTGTAACGGCAGCTTCGTGTACCATTAAAGATTTCGTTTTTCTTTTGTCGGCGGCAATTACGTCCAGTTCTGCACAAGTGTGACCGTTTCACATGTAAGCTATAAATGCTACTGAATATGACAAAGTGGCAGCACTGGCAGGTGCTACACTTTTTTCCAAATTTGGCAGGGTCGTTGAAAAGCTATGTTTGGTTTGTGTCATTGCTAAGCACAGCAAATGAAAAAGAAGCATCATAAAAAAGCTCTTCCATTTCCAAAACTGTAACTGAAAGGGAGCATGTTTTTAATTGAATTTAGCCTTATCAGCCGTTTTTTAATAACATCGATTTCCTTGCTGATGTAATTTCATAAATTACATTATTTATTGCATTCTTTTATTATTGGTATCTAAATGACGAGAAACGAGTTTCGTTCCGCTTGATCGCGCACTCACACATGCTCCAGATAAGAAAATATGGCATGTCTGTACATAATATGTATACGTCTTTTGTCAAATTTGCTTATAAGGCACGGAATGGAAGCTACTCAAGTGTGTCAACGTCATTACAACAAAAACAACAACATGAGCTGGCAAGAACACAATCAGTCGTATTGAGGGCATTTATACATAATTGGCATGGGTAGCATCACTTATAAATGCGGGCGTTGTAGCCCTGGTTGAGGTGCTCTGTCGTTCTGCAATTTGAAGCGCATGTTGCCCGTCAGTTTAAAGTGCGCGTTCGCCTTAAATGTGACTTGGTCAGGAGAGATTTAAAAATCGCGAGTGAAAATTAAGCAGAGAAATTATGGCTGCAGAATCCGAATCAGTGGCGAATCTATTACCAATCGCTTATTGTAATAAATGTGCCAAATTATAGGCAAGAAGCGTTTTTAACAAATCTACATCTACTGTGTTTTTAAAAAAATGCAACACTTGACAACACTTGATACTTCGTAGACTATAAATAAGCAATATCATATGAATGACAATTTATTTAAAATAATGCCAAGTTTAAAATGTAATTTGTCGCTTTGCGATCTGCGATGAATTTTGAATTTCTTCATTTACGTCTTTAGTAAACCCCTCCATACAGTAGTAATCTCTGTATTCATATATTCACAAATACATTTTCACTGAACACAAAAAAAAAATATATATATAAAGAGTTGAAAAAGGGTTAACGTACGAATAACTTCAATTGTTTTTAAAAATTGGGTCATTTTGAACCAAAAATATCAGGATTCGTTTGCTTATGTTTAAACAATCACCATATACTTGTTGCTTTTTAAAACCACTTAATAAATTGGCTGCTCCGTTTATTGTACTACTTAGTAGACAACAGTTTCGAATTGATTGTATTAATTATATATTAATATGATATAGTTTGAAGTGTAGCTAATTAAAAAAAACAAACAACTATATATAAAAAGTACACAAAGGAATGAAAAAATGTAAGTCAATCGTTTTTCTCAAATCGAATTAGTGTGTAGTACAAAATTGCGATTGGAACTAAATAATGTTAATGATGTATTGGTGAAGAGTCGCAGTTAAAAGAGAGAGAGAGGGAGAGAGAGACAGACGCTGGGCAGAATGAACAGTGCAGGTCGCAACTGATTTCAAAGCGAAGTTTATTTTTTATACGCATAGTTCTCTTTTATTCCTTATATTTATTATCTTATATGAAGAAGGCTATATTACAAGCTATATTTGATTGAGTTGCCCATTTTATTCTTTTAAAAGAAAGAAATTTGCTTGCCTTAAAGAAAATGTCTTAACTAACTGCGCCATTTTGTTTACAGTGTAGCTTATGGAGAACTTAAACTGGCGAAAACTAGATCTAATCGATAATTGCAGTTCGGGAATGCACTGCTTAGATTTATGATGAACTGCTTGAATTTTCAAGGGTTTTGGTTCACAGCCTTTTGAAACGAATTTGAAACTAGTTTAATTATCAATTTAATCAATTAATCAATATGCAAGTCCTAAACAAACTGATTAAAGCAAAGCACCTTCTTCGAGTAAATACATATATACATCTTTTCAATATGTTCAGCTTATGTGCGCAAACATAATTTGGTTGATTTAAAAAAATTAATAAGTGACCTCCTGCAATGAACATGAAATTATTTCATACGCACCACATGTAATTGCATTCTTTTCAAACAAATGAAAATAAAAACGCCAGTCAATTGAATGGATGATAACAAAGAGAATACAGAAAATGTGAAATTCAAAAAGAAAACAAACAAACAAACAAACACCACACGCTTTGTATAAACAAATGCAGATGTCATGCTGAGCTCACCGGAAACGGAAACAAAGCAGCAGTGGCATTAAAAATGTCAGCCATTGCATTGCAATGCGGTCGCTCGCACACAAGGCCTTTCAGCCGAACAGCAGTGCTATATAAAATATCAATCATTGCCATCGCCATCGCCATCATCAGCATTATATTATCATTGTCATTATTATCATTATTATGCAGAGGCCGATTATAGTGTGCATGACGCGCGATGGTTTGCTTAATTGATTTTATGTTTAAAATGTGAAAGAAAGAAATAATTACGTGCCGACTCAACGCAACTGCAATCGGATCGGATGTGGCCTACAGGATGCTAATTAGTGACATAAATTATCGAATCTGTACGCTTTTGCTTTTTCTGCCTAAGCCAGCATCGCTTCTCCCCAAATTATTCACATCAAAAAGAAATCCCAAATGAACAAAAATCATTTTTAATTTATGAATTTGGTTTTTGCAGTCAATCGATAATGCACTGATAATTGGATTGTCGCTTAAAGACCAAATTGCAGTTAGCAACTAGTGCTGTGGATAAAGTCTTATATTTCATATATATTTTTCAGCTTGATCTTTTTAACAATAAAGCAATTTTAATTCTAGTATAATAAGGATAACGGATTCCTTCTTTTTTCTTAAAACTACTCGATTCATTTTGATAAGTTTATCAACAAGAACAATTTAAAATGGTCTTTGCTAAAAGCAAACACTCCTGCAGTAGAATTTTGAAAAGCTAAGAATTTAAGAGAGATTAAAAAGCGATGATCTTAATAGGAAATTTGATTTAAAAAACAGTTTTTGAATTGAGTTGTGGGTCAGAAGGCATAGATATTTAAAATGGCTTCTTGGACTGCTACAAAATGAGTTGTATTTTTGATTTTTAATGCGATGCCAGTTCAAAATTCAAATCAGAACTTCAAAGCACGAATTGGTTGAAATTGTACGTTAAATATTTGCAGGGCTTACTGATCTCTGAACTGAATTAATTTTTAATTATAGAACTAGAGGTTTTACTTTTGTAACGTTAACTTTTTTTTCTGTTATAAATTGGGTTAAGGAAGAACGTTTCTCATAAATGTTTTGGTTCTTAGCTGCTGAAAACGTGATCAATAGATTTTCGCAGTTCAATGATTTTCTTTGTAACCCCAAAAATTAGGTAATTTAGCGTTGTTCTGTTGGACAGTAACTCCTTCTTTATAGGCCCATTTTGGTCGTGAGTTTCAAAAAGTATAATTTTTGACAGAAGAGTTTGCAATTGAGTGTTTGGCTATAGAAGATGCTCCTGATACACGACTCTCACCAAAGCTACAACAAAACCATGCTTGCTGTTAGTCCTGGTTTGCATACCTTTTGAAGTAGCTCAGTAAGTTTTGACCAGGATCGCTAACGGAATATATTGTCGTAATTGGTAAATTTTTTAAATCACTGATTTATTTTAGCGTATCTCTATTAGCCTCCGATGTATGAAGACAATGTTTAGCGTTTTCAAAATTGTATTAAATTTGGTTAAATAGTTAATTATTTATACCTTTGATATTATAATAATAATATTTTATGTTTGAAAAACAACCGACACCAAAAAGATTGAAAGTAACATTGAAGTATTTATGAATGTAAAGATAGATTCAATAACTAATGTTCCATCAAAGTCAAATACTAGCACCTTATTAAAAGAATAATATTCGTTTAAGTCACTCACTAAAATAAGTAAAACAAGACAGGAATAGTTGGTTTGCATCCAGAATTGATTGCTCCATTTTCATTCGTCACACGTTTTCTTTTTTCTTTCTTTCTGATGTGCAGCACTTCGCAATTTTGCACCGTTTAGTATGACTGTAAAATTAATGCCACTTTATATTTTATGGCGACAAAATGGTACAAAAAACATAGCTGGTTAGAGTCGTACACAGCCGACTGTTGCATACCCAGTAATTCTTAAAATCATAGGTAAATAAATATATTTTAATTAGGTATTCATTTGCCTTTACTCCAACGATATCATATTAATTAAATTATTTATTTTTATTTATATAATGCTAGCTTAAAATTAATATCTTAAAACTAACAGAAGTGATAATTATACATTTCACAACAAAGCAAGAGTTCACAGTTTCTTTTGGTATGGACTTGGATAAAGAGCAATCGTCCTTGAAATCGAAAAGGTAATTTGTAAAATATATACAATTAGGTGAGTAGTATGCAATTTCTTTCGGGATGACAATACTTTTATTTCCTTTTATTTTAAAACTAAAATATATTAATTTTTAAAAAAGATATTAAAAATGTTGTATAAGCTGTGAGACTGTGGTGTACTGCAGGTATAATCTAAAACCCTCTGAATGCGATATTTAAATCCCAAACTTTTTAAGAGCCTTTTACTATTTGGGTGCAGGGTATCCAATAACAGTGCTCGTCCATTTGAGTTAATGGGTCGTGTGCTTGCACTGTTGTTGCTGTTCTTGTTATTGTTATTATATGTGTACAATATTTATGTTTGTTGCTGTCTGTCTAGCACGCCCCACATGCTCTTATTTGATCATTTATGAAAATATTAAAGGGATATTTATTTATATTTATGCTGCAGAACGTAAAAGACACGAGCAAATAAATATTTAAAATAATAAATGAAACGCATTATAAGCAGCGCCTCTGCATATGCAACGATTTTTTCATAATTGTCGGAATGGTCTGTATATTTGGCAGTGTGTGTGTGTGTGTGTGTATGCCTCTGTGTATGTGTGTGCGTGCTTGTTCATTGTTTGTCCATAATTTGCAGTTTA